AGGGATGGGCCAGGACCATCCCCGCCACTGCTGCAGCCAGCTGTGCTGGGAGCAACTGGGAGCCTGGGCTTCAGGCTTGAAAGCACAGAGCCTTTTTCTTTCGCACTCTCACGTACCCCAGGTGGAAACCGAGTCAGCGTAGAGGAGGAAGCCAAACCAGAGCAGTGGGAAGGAAAGAAATAGATGAAGACAAGGTGCCTGCTGAGACTACGTACATCTGGCTGGGCCAAACAGAGGAGCTGGATGGGAAGCTGAGACTCGGAGCCCAAGGTAAAGGCCAGGGGAAGGGGGAGCTGCTGGCAGGGGGGAGAAGATGCCGAACCCAGAAGCCAGTGAAGGAAATGAGAGGGACTGAGAGCCAGTGGCTGGTCGGAGGTACTGGTGCGAGACAGAGGGGCTCATTGAGGAGGCTGTTGGCTTAACCTGGAGACAAGAACGGAGAATGAGAAGAGACAGACCTTGCACAGTGTTGGGTGGGGAGGAAGGAGGTGGGTCAGGAGGCGGGAGTGAAGCTGGAGAGATATAGGGTGTCTTTGCAGAGCTTGGGGAGGGGGTCTGAATTGAGGACTGAAAGGGGCCGGGGGCTCAGGGCTGGCGTAGCACCCTGTCCCGGGGCTGGCAGGGAGGCAGGGACAAGACTGAGGACAAAGGGGCAGAGGAAGACAGGACTGGTTCAGACACAGGTTCTGAAGGACACAAGACCTCTTGAAGCAAGCACTCTCCCACCGAAGCCTGGAACGTGACTACGCATTTGAGAGTAGAGATGTGAGGAGCCCCAGAGAGGGTCAGTGAGAGGAGAAGAGCTCACTGCGGTCCCTGAGCGACCGAGGGCTGCACAGAAGCCACCAGTCTTGGTGATAAAGAGGAGATACATGGTCTCACCTCACTTAACCCCAGGGAGCCCTGCCTCTCTCAGTGCTTGGGGGACCCCCCTTCGGAGGGGAGCCTGCCCTGAGTAAGGAGAGAGACTGCCCCTTCTTGCTATGGAGGTGGGAAGACACAGGGCCAATGGCCCCAGGCTGGGCTGCAAGAGTTTGGGGGACACAGCCCTGTAGGGCTGCTTCAGGGGACTGGACCAGGTCCAACCTTGGCACAGAAGCATTCCACGGGCTGCCAGCTGGGCCACCACATTGGTGGCCTCTACTGAAGTGATGGAGGTGGCTACCTGCAACCAAAGACAAGAAGAACTGAGCTCTCAGGGCAAAACAGCCCGAGCCCAAGGACCTGCCCGCCTCCGGCAGCAGCTACACCTACACAGCCCTGCGAGATGCCTCGACGGAGCAGTAAAAGGCCACGTGCTCGGAGAAGAGCCACGGGGGCAGCTCTCCAAAATTTGGCAGGATGGAGCACCAGTTGACTTGGCCGACTTAACAGTGCTCTTTTAGTACAGGGCTCTTTCTGGGGGTGGGATGAACCTCTATATTCAGAAAGCCCACCAGCATGTTTCTCTGTGCCCGCTGGCTATCTGGGAGTGCATCAGATTAGTCTTCAGCCAGGCCCTTCCCTGGTTCTCCGCATCGCTATGGTGCACATAGCATTTCTGGGTGCCTATAGCATCCCAGCTGGGACTAATGTTTCCTTAAAAGAATTTGGGCTACCAAGAATGTTAAATAACTTAAGGAAAAAAAAAAAAAAATCAGTATAAAACCGGATATCCTGAGGGGGGAAAACCAATATGAAGCCCAAGGCCAGCTAACGGAGAAAGTAGGTTGTAAAAATTAATGAGAATAATTGTTGCGAATTCTTGCTTTAGAAAGAACCCTCGTGAGGGCAGAACCTTAATTATTTCTGTCTATTAGGGTTCATTTCCTGGTCCTAAGCAGAGAGCTAGTACCTAATAAATATGAGCTAGTAGCACAATGATTTAAGCTACAGCAAAATGGTACTTAACTGCAGGGGAAGTTAATATTTGGGAATCAACCTGATTGCAAGCGCCCATTGTGTAAATGGCAAGGAAATGAAATGTGCATGTGACCTATTTTAACACCTCAATATTTCTGGGGTATTTTTTCAGGGTTGCAGAGAGGGGGGAGGTGGTCGGCCGAGCTGCTGACAACCGCACTGAAAACTTTACCAAAACTTTCTTCGTAGCTTAAGCCTCCTTTTGGGGAGTAGGGCCGAGGAGGGGGAGATCCCAGCGTGCTTAAATATCTTTTCAGGCTGTCTAAAACATCAGGGGAAATAAGCACAAGCCCTACATTGGGACTGCAGCTGTGCTATTGAAATAAATTGACAGATCTGAAATCAGGCAGGTATTTCTATAAGCTGTGTAAGCATAGACTCAAATGCATTTATGGGCAGGTCATACAATTAATACTGTAATATAATTCACCCATAACATAGCTCTTGAAACCTAAAGCACATGCACGTATAAATTTGTTTGTGTATATATGTGTGTGTGTGTGTGTGTAAAATACATGGGTGTATAAAAACTGTGTGTAAAATACGTTGGTGTGTACAAACTGTGCGTGATTGTGCGGATAGGAAAGTGTGCGTGAAGGATGCGCTACAGGTGATGGGTGGAAGTGAGAGAGAGATGGCTGTAAACGGGAAAAAATAGGTAGTGCACTGACAAAGAGACGTGGGGCTGGACAGGCAGACCCTCCTTGGGGAGCTCGATGCAGACAGACACAGGCCGGTGGGATGCAATCGTTTATGGCAACGGGAAATGCAGTCTGCCTTGCGACGTGAAAATATGTTTTGCCAAGCAACACCTCAGCTGTGAAAGCCGAACTCGGGTTTCTGCCTGTGGAAAAGTCCCCGCTTGCCACTCAGCTCAGCGGTGTATAAAAACTGTGTGTAAAATACGTTGGTGTGTACAAACTGTGCGTGATTGTGCGGATAGGAAAGTGTGCGTGAAGGATGCGCTACAGGTGATGGGTGGAAGTGAGAGAGAGATGGCTGTAAACGGGAAAAAATAGGTAGTGCACTGACAAAGAGACGTGGGGCTGGACAGGCAGACCCTCCTTGGGGAGCTCGATGCAGACAGACACAGGCCGGTGGGACTGCAATCGTTTATGGCAACGGGAAATGCAGTCTGCCTTGCGACGTGAAAATATGTTTTGCCAAGCAACACCTCAGCTGTGAAAGCCGAACTCGGGTTTCTGCCTGTGGAAAAGTCCCCGCTTGCCACTCAGCTCAGCTGAAGGATGTCACCCTTTCCACACAGCCAGCATCTGCAACGGCATCAGCTGCGCGCCGCCTCAGCCCCGGTATTATTCTCCATCTGCACTGGGGCAAGCTGCAAATTTTATTCCCTTCCCTGGAGGGAGATGCCATTTAGGGTAGATCATTCCCTGGTTTATTTTTATGGCTCTATCTCTCTCAGTTGGGTCTTTATCTTGGGGCTAGAGCCACTCTTTATTTGTTCCCCCAACGATTCAGTGCAGCAAGAAGAGGAATGCGTGTATCGGGGCGGGAGGGATGTAAGTGTATGTAAAATGTGTAGGGGGGTGTGTAAAATATGTAGTGCTGTCTGTGTGCTTGTGCATGTGTCTGCTGGGATGCGAGTGCGTGTGTGTCTGTAGGGATTCACGCGTTTGTCAGTGCGTATGTTTTGACAGAGACGGATACACAGATGTCATTTCTTATCAACCAGATGTTGTTGATTTACAATCAAATATTCCTGCTCCTCCTAATATGGCAGTTTTCCCAAACTACTGTACTTACATGCTTCTGCTTTGCTTTTGTTTTATTTGCATGATAATTTTTTTTTCTATAAAACAGTCCTATTTTTCTTCAGAGGAACGCAGTTAAATTCAGGTCTATTTTCTCATAGGGAAATGCCTTTAAAGTGAGCAGCATGTCCTGTTTTATTAACTCCCAGTTCCATTAATATTATATTCTTTCTCCGAATCCATCAAGCAGAAGTTAAACTTGATTTTATAGCATCCACAGCGGAGTTATAATTTAAGGCGTAATTTGGCGAGGACTCAGTTTGGATTCAGTTTGCTTGTCCTGGTTGTGCCAACAGCTCCTACTTTAAAGGGCAGGGAAGTATTTTCTTTTCTCCCTAGTTACGGTGAAACACTCTTTCTTCTCCAGCCTACCTCTGCTCTCTCCGTCTCCCTTGCCAACTGATCGATGGAGGAAACACAACCGTTTCACGCAGGTTTAGGAGCTTCTTACTTACATCTCCAGGAAAGCACCCAGGATTTATCCGGGGTGCTAAATGACCTTTCTCCGTTTGAAAAAACAAGCGCATGATTTCACTCTGTCAAGCACAAAGGAGCCATCCTACCTGCCCGTAAGTACCAGTAAAAGCTTGTAGTAATCACTTTCTATGTGATTTGGGAAGGAATTTGCTTTTTTGTGGAAGGAAAATTGGCTTTTCATGGGGCTCTGCCCTAGAGAGGGGCTGTCGGGGTCTGCAGGCAGCGGTGAGGGGCAGTCAGTGAAAGGCATCGCTAAGTACATCTGCTGAGAACTAACCCAGCCCTGAGCCTTCCTCCACCTCCTTCCTCGCTGAGTGGGGAAGCCCAAAAGCCAAGCAAGGGAAGGAGAGGGGGCAGCAGCCCCGCAGCGGGGTCCCCCCGGGTGGGCAGGCAGAGGGGGACGGCAGTGGGAACCCATGCGTGTCCGCCCGGCGGCACCCCAAGAAAACCTTATTTGGGGTTTGGGGTTTTTTTTTTTTGTTTTATTTTGCTTGGGCAGGCAGGGAGCTGATTTCAGGCGCAGAGCCTCCCTTCCCTCCCAGGGCCTCCTCGCTGCCAGGAGCGGCCGAGCCCTTCCCCAAACAAAGAACAAAGGCCACACGAAAGGAGCGAGGGCTGCCAGGTGTGGCTGGGCCCCCCCCCCCCCCCGCCGACCCCCCCGCAGGGCCGCCCGAGGAGCGGCCGGGGAAGGAGCCCTTCCCCAAACAAAGGGCCGGAGCACGGCCAGCCCGGGTTATCAGCGCCCCGGCTGCGGAGGGGAGCGCCGGGCTCCCTTCTCCAGATTAGAAGGCTTTGACCGATGGGGGGGGAAAGAAGATAAAGCCAACTTCCTCGGTTGGTCGTCTCCTCTCTGAGCAAACCATCCTGTTGAGCTAATTCCTCCTCGGCTCGCCCTAAGCCCTGTCTTCAGACGCTTTGTATGTGTCGCCAGGAATAACAGAGGGGATGGGACGGGCGCGTGGTGAGAGGGAAGGGGAAGAAGGGAAAAGAAGAAGAAGGAGGGGAAAGAAGAAAAAAAGAAGAAGGGGGGAAAGAAAAGAAGAAGGGGGGAAGAAAAGAAGAAGGGGGGAAGAAAAGAAGAAGGGGGGAAGAAAAGAAGAAGGGGGGAAGAAAAGAAGAAGGGGGGAAGAAAAGAAGAAGGGGGGAAAGAAAAGAAAAAGGGGGGAAAGAAAAGAAAAAGGGGGGAAAGAAAAGAAGGGGGAAGGGGAGCCGAGGCCCTCAGGAGGAGCAGTGGGAGAAGGGAAGGAGAAGGGATGCGGTTTGCCGGTGCGAGGGCCGGCCCAGCCCCTCACCTTGTGGTTTTGGTAGGAGGTGACGGCGATGAAGGCGGTCTCCGGGAAGACGTGGGTGCAGAAGGCGGTGTTCTTGGAGCCGAAGCCGTTGTTCTCGTCCGCTTTCACGATGTGGAGCCGGGGCTGGTATTTGTGCATGGAGTTCAGGATGATCTGGGCAAGGGGAGAAGGAGAGGACATCCCGTGGGAATGGAGGGGGCACAGCACGGCGCACACCTCCCTCCCCCCCCCGCTGCCCGGGGATGGGGAGAGGAGGAAGAGGAGGAGGACAGGGGCCCGCAGGTCCTCGCATCCCCTTCCCCAAAACCTTCGCCCTCTTCAGGGCTCCCCCAGAAGGGCTGATTTAGGTGCTGGGGGGGGGGGGGACATATCTCTCAAAAAACCCCCCCACTTCCCCCCAGCCAAGATGCCCATCAGGGCCGGGTGATGCTGTGAAAGTTGGGTCCTTGC